AGAGAGAGCTCTGGTATCGGCTGTGAACCGAAAGGTGAGCAGTTCAAAACTACCAGCTGTTCCGTGGGAGAACGATGAGGTGTACTGCTCCCATAAAGATTTACAGCCTCGGAAATTCTGTACAGGGTCACTATGAGTCAGAACTGATTCCACAGCACATAACAACAACAACAACACACTCTGTGTGTGTGTGTGTGTGTGTGTATATACATACATATATATATATAACAACATACATACATACACACACACACACACATATTTGGATGTACACAGAAACACTCAGGAATATATAATCATGTAAACAACCCAAGGGCACAAGGCCTGCCTCCTGGCCACCAGCGCACAGCCTTTCTCTTTCCATGAGTCTAGAGTCCTCAGCTGCTTTCTCTCTCCATGGCGTGATAGCATTTTTAAGAACAGTGTCTTTCTCTAGATGAGATGAATAAGAAGCTGAGGACTTCAGTAATAATGGCCAGGCGTACTTTTCTTCTTGTAGTAAGGAAAAACATAAAAGGCAATTCTAATCTTTGGAGAAACTGGCAACAAGGAACAAGGAAGTCATGATCCCAAATGGAAACCGACCAAAGTGTGTCCTAGTTCTCAGCAGCTGGTGGGATGGGAGACCCTGGCATTGAAGACATGCCCTTTAAATGGCGCAGGGTCAAGAACATGGAGCCTGGGGATGGCTCTCAGCTCTGGGCCACTTGGCTCTGCTGGGATGGGGTCCACAGTCCTAATGTTTCTCCTTTGGAGACCAGCTGACTAAGTGACAGGTACAGAATACAAATGTCTTCACTCTGACAGGCAGATAGGGAGGTGGAAGGGCTCAAAGGTCAGGTGCTAGGGTCTTGTCACCTTGCCTTGGTGAGGTCCGGGGGTCATGTCTAAAGTTGATGCAGCTCTGAAAGTAGGCGATTGTCGGCCCCCGTGTGAGGGTCTCCAGTCTAGGGACTGCTGGAGAGCTGTTGGGCCGTGGCGTTTCAGGTGTGCTCACAGAACCTCAGGCTGGGCTACAGCGAGGGAGGAATTCACTGTCCCGGCTCCTGGGAGGTGTCAGGCTAGGGGCTCACTTTTGGAGCGGCCGGACCTGCTGGTTTGGTCCACATTGAGTGTTTTCATGCCAGGGCAAGATGGCTGGCCTCTGGCAGCCCGTGGTCTCAGGCCCTGGAGTCTCGGCCAAGGGGAGGTAGGCAGCACTGTGGTGAGGGAGAGACTGACGGATGGCCTGTTACCGGTGAGAGGCTTCCAGAGTCAGGCGCCCTCTCTGTTGCTGCACTCTTGGAGCCAGGGACGGCAGTCAGTCCAATAAGTGTTAGTTCACTGGACAAAGACGGAGGGAGTCAGCCAGCCCGTGTGGGACTCTGGGGTATCCTGTGTCGAGAAGGAACGACTGAATATTACCACTTCCTATGAAAGAAAGAAATCATCCAGTGGTAGACAAAACAATGGGGTCAGTAGGCCGGGCAGGTTTTCCCAGGGGCCGGGTGGGGCCACATGTGAGGAGACGTGTTGTTAACTGAGAGAACCACAGCTTGAGTGAGGGTCAGGGCCAGAGGAGGCAGGAGAGGGGCTGACCCACGTGGCCCTGGAAAGTCCTGACTGAGAGTCTGTGTCGGCTCGGGGTCATTGCCAGAATTGAATTCTAGAGTGGACTCCCCATTTCAGGCCTTATTTACTAACACTGAAAGAATTTTCTTTCTTTTTTAAGTTCTTTTAATTGGTGCTTCTCTGGCCCATTATAACAATTTTAAAACGGAGAACAAATGGTTCTTTGTATTTTAATAGTGTGTCATGTTTACTTATTTTTAACTTTTTATTGTGATTTGAATGTTAGTTTGTTGTTGTTGTTAGGTGTTGTGGAGTCAGTACTGACTCATAATAGTGTGACCCCATGCATAGCAGAACAAAACACTGCTCAGTCCTGGGCCAACCTCACAGTCGTTGCTATGCCTTGAGCCCGTTGTTGCCACCACTCCATCTCGTTGGGGGTCTTCCTCTTTTTCTCTGACCCTTCTTCACTTCATGAAATATGATGTCCTTCTCCAGGGACTGGTCTCTCCTGACAGACAATATGTCCCAAGTATGAGAGACAAAGTTTGGCCATCCTGGCCCCCAAGGAGCATGCTGGTCGTACTTCATCCAACATAGATCTATTGGTTCTTTTGGCAGCCCATGCCCATGGCACTTGGAATATTCTCCTCCAACACCATAACTCAAATGCGTCAGTTCTTCTACGGTCTTCCATATTCACTGTCCAGCTTTCGCATGCATGTGAAGTGATTGAGAATACTACGGCTTGTAAGCTTATAAAAGCCAGATTGGTTTCCCTTTCAGCAATCCACACATTCAGTTTCGTGACGTGGGTTACAATCCTCACAGTGTAACGACATCCTCCCAATTCCTCCCTGTGTCTCCTGAGTTGGTTCATCCTCCTTTCCTGTCCCTTTCCTGCATCTGAGCTTTGTCTCTGGGCAAATGATGCCCTTTTGATCTGATCTGGTTGGTTTTTTAGGGATTCCATACTCCCTGGTGTCATTGATCACCTTACAGGCCTGTCTGTTGACTGAAAGGTGATGGCACAGGGAAGAGTTCAGTTCAAGGCCTAAAGCATGAGTAAGGGCCAAAGTCTCTGTCAGACCAGTAAGCCTGTCTGCTTTATGATTCTGAATTTCGTTGCACCCTTTGCTTCCGCTCTACGAGGGACCTTCGAGTGTGATCCCTTCCACAGTTTCAGCAGTGGTGGCCAGGCACCATCTACTTCCTCTGGTCTCAGGGTCCTGAGGGCTGAGGCTTGCGTGGTCTGTTAGTACTTTGGACTAATTGTGTTTGGTTTGGTTCCACACTTCTTTGCTCTAGCTGGAAAAGACCAGTAGTTGTACGTTCGATGGCTACTCAGAGCTTTTAAGACCCCAACTCTACTCACAAAGTAGGCTGTAGAGTATTGTCCTCAAAAATAGTGTTACAGAGTGTGACTGATATGCTGGCCACATGCACATCTGCTCTTGGATGGTGTGGACCTGACAGCAGGAGAGACAGTGCCATCTCTGAGAGCTGCCTGCGGGTGCCTCAGTCCAGGAATGGAGTGCTCAGTCCTCACGCACGCTCACGTGGGTTCCTCAGTCCAGGAATGGAGTGCTCAGTCTTCACACACGCTCACGTGGGTGCCTCAATCCAGGAAGGGAGTGCTCAGTCCTCACGCACGCTCACGTGGGTGCCTCAGTCCAGGAACGGAGTGCTCAGTCCTCACGCACGTTCACATGGGTGCCTCAGTCCAGGAATGGAGTGATCAGTCCTCATGCCTGCTCACTTGGGTGCCTCAGTCCAGGAGGGAGTGCTCAGTCCTCACGCACACTCACGTGGGTGCCTCAGTCCAGGAACGGAGTGATCAGTCCTCACGCACACTCACGTGGGTGCCTCAGTCCAGGAACGGAGTGATAAGTCCTCAGGCACACTCACGTGGGTGCCTCAGTCCAGGAAGGGAGTGCTCAGTCCTCAGGCACGCTCATGTGGGTGCCTCAGTCCAGGAGGGAGTGCTCAGTCTTCACGCACGCTCACGTGGGTGCCTCAGTCCAGGAACGGAGTGATCAGTCCTCACGCACGCTCACGTGGGTGCCTCAGTCCAGGAACGGAGTGATAAGTCCTCAGGCACACTCACGTGGGTGCCTCAGTCCAGGAAGGGAGCTCTCAGTCCTCAGGCACGCTCACGTGGGTGCCTCAGTCCAGGAGGGAGTGATCAGTCTTCACGCACGCTCACGTGGGTGCCTCAATCCAGGAACGGAGTGATCAGTCCTCACGCACGCTCACGTGGGTGCCTCAGTCCAGGAGGGAGTGCTCAGTCCTCACGCACGCTCACATGGGCACCTGTGCTGTTACCATAGCTCCCGTTTGCTCTTATCTCAGGGGAGACAGTTCCTGTCTGTCCCAGTGTGGTCCGGTAGAATGACCTGCGTGTGTGGGAATGTTCTAGAACTGCAAAGTCAGCTGCCTCTGCTCGCCTGTGGCTCTTGAACTGAGGAACTTAGTTCTTCATTGTTTACATTTTCATTAGTTGAGCCTTAACTAGCTACAGGGGGCTAGACAGCACAGGTAGAGCGCGAGGCCCCACGTTCTACTGGGAGAAATGTGGTGTCGCGGCTTGGAGGCTTTGCTGCGAGTACCTTTGGACTAATTGTCTCAACATTTGCAAATAAGGTAGCTGTGTGTGCGAATGTCTGTTTCTTTTAACAGACACTGCGTGCCAGGAAGATTGGTTTGGTGGCTTGTTGTTTTGTTATTAAGTGCCATTGAGTCAGTTCCGACCCATAGCGACCCTGAACAGGGTTTCCTGGAGCACAAAGCCTCATCTTTCTTCCATGGAGCGGCTGGTAGTTTTGAACTGCTGACCTTGCAATTTGCAGCCAGATTCATCAGAGCTCCTTTAAAGGTACAATTAAAATGATCATTTGTCATCCTGCTTTGCTTAAACAAATGAGTGAATTGCACCTTTCCACCAAAGCTGGACGCCTTTGAAATGTCAGCGGTTTGAACCCACCAGCTGCTCCGTAGAGGAGTGGTGAGGCTGTGTGTTCCCATCCAAGTTACATCTTCGGAAACCCGAGAACAGGTCTACTCTGACCCAGAGTCGCTGTGTGTCGGATTCAGACCCATCAATGGGTTTGAGTGTTGGCTTTTCTGAACACGGAACTGTTTTAATGGCTTCAGCCTCTTGGCTGTCCCTCATGTTGATGGGGGCTCAGGGACATGAAGCCCAAAGTCTTTTACCTGTTTCAGATTCAGGCTACGAGGAGAACAAGGAGACAGTGAGACATGGTGTGGGAGTCTCTCAGGTTAGCGTTGGGATGGTGCCCCGCAGCCTCATTCCCCTCCTCCCACGGCTCAGGCCACATCCACTGCCCACAAGGTGATTGTGTCTGCCCTAGAAGGCTGGTGTTAGGGAGGTGGACAGTAGCTGTGTGGCCCTTCACAGCACAGCCCCAGTGCAACGGTGGGGTGAGGGGGCTCCAGCCTCTCAGCAGCTTTTCTCTCGGGGGGCTCTCTCGGGCCCAGGCTGTCTTCCTGTCTCCCGGGCCACAGCATCCTGTCTTGTCATCCTGCCCAGGTGGTGTCTGGCTAGTGCTTTTCTGCCCCTCCATGCTTGGCAAGCAGAACTGAGCCAAAGCAGGGCAGGCAAGTCGACTCCAGGCCGGGCCAGGCCACAGCACGTGTGCGGAATAGACTCAGGGGCCGTGAGCTTTTAGAAGTCAGTTGTCAGGCCTTTCTCCTGAAGTCTGCCAAACTCTCTGTTAGTAACTGAGTGCTTAACCGTCTGTGCCACACAGCGTTCCTCCTAGGAAGTCATCAAGTCGATTCGAACTCACAGTGATCTTATATGGAGTTTCTAAAAGTCTAAATCTTCACAGCCGCAGGCAGCCTCATCTTTGTCCCGTGGAGTGACTGGCGGATTTGAACTGCGTTAACCTTGCAGTTAATAGCCCAGCACCCCTAGCAAGCAGAGGAGCCAGGATTCATAGCAGGAGATAGGGTTGGTGCCCTGCTGTAGTGTGCAGCATCGAGGCTAGTTTCGGGGGACACTGCAGCTTCGGCAGTGTGGGGGGCGGCTGTACAGAGCTTTGAGAACCCATTCCTGCTGTGGGTGGAGGGCTGGGGAGTGAAAAAGCTCACTTTCCTGGGAGGTCTCACTACGTGCTTCACACTTGAGTCTGCGAGCGTCTCTCTTGTGTTTCAGCCCCTCTTGGCCTGTGGTGCAGACGCCCCCTCAGCTTGACCTCTCCTCTGTCTCTAGGAATGTTCCGAAGGACCACGGCCGCCACCACCAGACTCTTCACCTCCGACAGCTCCGACGGCAGCTTCTATGCCCTGGAGGGCCTGAACGCACGTGTCCGTGCCATGATCCCTACCCACCCGTCCCTCGTGCTGCTCTGGTGCCAGATCCTGCTGCTCGTCAACTACACCGACTACCGCTGGTGGGCCGAGGTGCAGCAGACCCCAAAGTAAGCCATGCGCCTCGGCCTTGTCAACACTCCCGGCAGCTCCCCGTCTTGGCTCTTGGGAGACTGTGTGAGGTCTCTGCTATCTGGTCTGTTCTCGGCACGCTGCTTCCTTCAGTAGGTTCTTGTGGCTCAGTTGGCCCCATAGGCAGATGTTCTGCAGTGCTTTAGCCTCTGTGCATTCGGTGTGGTTCTGGCTATTCTTAAGCATTGAAGTAATCATTTGACAAGTTTTCAAAACTGCTTGAAAGTAACTTTTTTAATAGTCTGTTCAAAAGGATATGGTAAGTGTGTTACTGTGGGTGGCCCTCTTTTTCCAGAAACTGTCAGGTTTGGGGCTGAATTTCTAGGTGTGCACTGTCTCAGCACCCACCACAAACACAGACACCAAGTTCATGGTTGTCAGATCTGTTCCCACACAGAGTAGAGCCGCCCTCTAGGGTTTTTAAATTGTCAGTCTTTACGCGAGCAGACCACCTCATCTTCTCCTGCAGAATGGCTGGTGGGTGTGAACCACTGACCTTGCAGTGTCGTGCAGTGCCTAACCCAGTGTCCACACCCCCTGGTAAATAAGAGCTGTTTGCCCCTCTCTGCGGTGTTTCTGGAAGGCCCAAGCCCACGCTGGGGAGATGGTTGGAGATCTGCAGATCAAAGGCAGCGCAGGCCAGGGACTGAGGGTGGGGAAGGAGTGAGCCAGCTGTGTGAGGCCGTGCTCCTGCTGGAATGTGTAGCCTTGGTGGACCCAGTGTTGGGGGACATTGGAGGGGTAACGGCAGCTGGGCTGTGCCCTCAGAGCTTCAGTTGGGGAAACAGGCCGGGGCCTTGATGCAGAGCAGGCCCAGTGGAGCCAGACGCTGCCCCATCCTGGGCCATCCCATGATGCTTTGGCAACTGGAATGTTGACTCTGAGTGTGTCGTGTTGACTGTGTGACCCACTGGAGAAAATTGTGCCTTCTAACTCAGCAGACCCTAAACTAAAATGACCTACAAGCCAAGCTCACGCGGTTCTGGTTAAATTCAGCATCTGAACCCTCTAAACTTGCATAGGGCTGAAACCCACATTCCTGTTAAGCTCCCGGGGGATGCCCAGCCCACCCCGCTCCCACATGGTTTCCCTTTCTGTGCGCGTGGTGATGAGGGGTCTGAGCGTTCGTGTGCATTTTAGGTTTGAAAAGCCGTCCTTCTCAGAAATGGTCTCCCTCCACTTTGTGGGCTCCCTACTCATTCCATCCCCTCCCTTATAACGTTGTGTGAGACACTGCTGCTGGACCGGGGATCAGAGCCAGATTGCTGACCTGGTGGATGGTGTGGCGTGTTCAAGCGGTGAGCGTAGTCAGGAGTTCAGCAGGTGTCCTATTGAGGTGTTTGTTCCGGGTGCACGAGCGTGCCTTCACCCTGTCTGACCCGATCTCCCTTCTATTGGCCTGAAGTAAAACGAGTTGACCCTAGAACCTGTCCACGGACTCCTGGTGTGGTGTTGTAGGATCAGCACTGGACTGCGGACCACAAGGTCCATAGTTCAAACCCAGCAGCTGCTCCTTGGAAACTCTATACAGGGTCGCTATGAGTTAGAACCACCTCACGGCACTGACCAGCATGAGCTATCTAAACTTCCTATCTCGTAAACATGGAACCTCGTGAAGGAGCCCTGGTGGTGAATGTGCTCAGCTGCTAACAGGAAGGCTGACAATTGGCACTTGCCAGTCGCTCCACGGGAGAAGGGTGGGCGGTCCTGCTGTGTCCTGGGAGGCCACTGTGCATGGCAGTCAGCTGGACGGCGTGGGTGTGGGTGTGGGCTTGGTGTGTAGAGTTAACTGTGCTCAGCCGTGTAGATGTCTCCTGTAGCAGTGAGTTACACACTGCGGGCGGGCGGGCGGGCGGCCGAGCTCACGGTGGTAGTGTTGAATTGGGCATAGGGTAATGAAATCAGAACGTGCAAAGGGTTGCTTTCTGGAAGTGTGCAGTGTTTATGGCAAATGGAACAGGAAGAATTCCCCCAAATGATGGTTACATTTCTCGCATAGCCAAGCCAAGTTCACCTTCAAGGCTAGAATCAAAGTGCTGACTGATGGGGTGGCTGCTGTAGGTGGTGGGTGCTACTTTTGTTACTGTTTGTGTGTGTGCTTTGTCATTGCTCATGTGTTCATAACTGAGAGAGTTGTTGCTCACACAGCCTTCTGCTAAGGCAGTACTTACAGTAACTTGTCTACCTTAGAGCTAGAGTTAAACAGCTTTATCGTCAGTGTTGTGAAAATAAGCTTGCTGTCACCTCAGAAACATTGTCAATGCAATCTGTCACTCCTTCTAGGAGACACAGCCTCTCCAGCACCAAGTTGCTGAGTCCTCAGACGCTGGGGGAGGAGGAGGAGGACTCTGATTTGGCATCTAAACTGGGCATGTGCAATAGAGAGATCGTGCGGAGGGGGGCGCTCATTCTCTTCTGTGATTACGTGGTAAGTTGGGAACTGTGTGTAAAGGGACGACCAACATCCTGGGGTGCTTCCTGTAAACTGTGTTAGGACCAGACCTACCTCCTCCCATTCTGCCCGACCCAGGCTCATTGCTGAGCAGGAAGAGACTTCAGAACCAGAGCTGGCCTCCCAGGCCCTGAGGTCTAGTCCCTGAGCTTCCAACTGCTCTGTCGAAGATTTTCCTTTGCTTCCGTTTATTCAGCAAATACGGTGACCACCCTGGGCCCAGGCGTGAGGGCGACAGCGGAACAGTAGTCATAATAACAGGAGCAAGTTTCGAGTGTTAACTCTTGTGAGGTTGTGATCTTTAAAACATTTCTATATTCATTGGTACCAAAGTTTCCACTGCTGCCTTTTAAAGCAGATTCTCGGTTGGATGCCGTTCTTTTGAAAAAGCAATGTTTGTATCGTTTTAAACTGTCAGACGTGTGCACATGCTCACCATAGGAAATTTGCAAAAACTCAGGAAAGAGAAGAGCAAAATCTCGTGCGATTGTCCGTCTCTGAGACAACTTGCTGGCCCTCTGACCGTTTCCGTGCCTTTTCCACGCCCGTGCGGACACACAGGTTTTGCTCTGGTGCCGAGCCCGTGCTGTGCACCAAGCAGTTGGGCAGGGAGAGGCGCTGCTGCTGGACCAGGTGACATTGGTGGCGTGGCGGTAGCAGCGCCGTTACTGCCACGGTTTACTTTCACACTCCCCATGCAGAAATCATTTTCTGATCTTGTTCCACTTTTGGGAAGTAATATAATCTTGTTCAGTGCTGCTGAGTCGGACTCGTAGTGATGCTGGATAGGGTTCCCAAGGTGGCTGGTGAGCTTGAATGGAGTCTTACTTATCCAGCTGTTTCTCACAGATATGTCAGAAGTGGGGATCTCTGTGTTCTGAGTGAGCACTCTGAAGTGATCCCCAATGAGCAATAGGAGCTGCTGGTCAGATGCCAAGGGGCGCGTCCAGTTGGACAGTTTCAGCCCAGATGGATCTTTGATGTAGATGTAAAGGCAGCATCTAGCAGGGGCTTCTGGAAGCTCCTGGGAGAAGCCAGCTCTGTTTTCTGTCTGTTCTCTGCGTACTGCTAGGAGGCCCTTGTAGGTTTAAGAGTAGGTCTTTCCCGTCTACTGATGAATCGGGAGTGAAGAGACGCGAATCTGATCATGTGGGAGTGTGGGTGTTTTGCTAAAGCGGTGACAGTTTTCCTCAACTCTTTTATTCACCAAACTCTTAGTGAATCAGAGACAGAGCCACCCTGGTGTTCCGCGCCTACTGGGCCTGACTGGGCAGGAGGGCCTGCCAAGGGACTGCCACCCGTGCCAGTGCCTGGTCCCTGTGACTCCACAGCCTGCACCCTGGAACCCGCCTTGGCCGGGCTCAGAACCCGCTCCGTGTTCCCTCAGGGCCTGCTTCTGCTTTCCGCTGTGACTCGTCTTTCTGCCCTTCTCGTCCCCCAGTGTCAGAACCTGCATGATTCGGAGCACCTGACGTGGCTCATCGTGAACCACATCCAAGACCTCATCAACCTGTCCCATGAGCCCCCGGTCCAGGACTTCATCAGTGCCGTGCACCGGAATTCTGCCGCCAGCGGTCTCTTTATCCAGGCGATCCAATCTCGTTGTGAGAACCTTTCAACTGTGAGTCTTTACCCACCAGCTCCCGCCCATTAGAGCTTTCAAACAACGACGTCAGTTTCCAAGTGGCCAAACATACAGCCTTTGTCCCTTTCCTCCCCCACCAGCCCAGCACACTGAGGAGGACGCTTCAGTGCCTGGAGGGCATCCACCTCAGTCAGTCGGGTGCTGTACTGACGCTGTACGTGGACCGGCTGCTATGCACCCCGCTCCGCGTGCTGGCACGCAGGGTCGACACCCTCGCCTGTCGTCGGGTGGAAATGCTGCTGGCTGCAAATGTACAGGTTTGAAAAGCCCCCTGGTGCTGTGATCTCTAGCCAAGGCCAGAAACATGAGCACAGTGACTGCCAGGCGGTTCCTATAGGCGTGTTCCTCCCATGGCCACCCAGAGAAGCATGTGTCACATACCCAGCCATGTCTTTGGTGTGTCTGACAGCATGCGTGTCGGGGTGTCTCCTCTATCAGCAGGCTGTGTGTCACACAGCCACTGAAGTCCTCTTTCCCCACAGAGCAGCGGGTCTCAGCTGCCGCTGGAAGAACTCAACAGGATTCAGGAGTACCTCCAGAACAGCGGGTTAGCACAAAGGTAATGCTGGGAAGCCAGGCGCCCCTCGCTGTGAGAACTCAGCATCTGTGAGCCTAGGACAGAGAGCCAGACACCCTCCACCGAACCCTTCCTAAACGAATAAACTGATGGACTCCTGTTCTGACTCCCTGTGTGAACAGGGGCCATCGGCTTTATCTGGATAAAATCAGTGCATAGAGAAACTGGGGTCAGTAAATCTGGTTCTCGGCACCAGGGAGTCTCTCTGCAGCTTGTTCGCATTGTCTCTTTTCATAGCTGTTTTGTTTGCAAGACCTTTATTAGTCATTGAATCTATTATGTGACTTTGGTTTCATGATCTCCCGACAATAAGAGACGCTTTCCTCCTGTGTGTGTGTGTGGTGGGGAGGGCCAGGGGGGCTGGTGTGTGTGCAGGAGACTATGATGCCTTATGCCATGCTTTCTGTCTGAAGTGGAGCTTGCAGATGGTGCCTTCAGGTGGGATGGGGCATGACTTGGCGGGCATTACAAGGTGGTCACTCGCTTGAGGTGTGGTGAGAGGTCAGGCTGTTACTGTCCTTTAACCCCAGACTCTGCATTCAGCCCCCATGAGGAAGATTCACAGCATCCTGGGCCAGATGCAACGATTCTTGTGTGAAATGACCATAAAGACCAAAAACCAAACCACCCAGAACACAGTCTAAACCCTGCTGTCAAGCTGTAGGGCCAGGTAGAGCTGTCGCGCAGCAGTCACCGTTGTGTACCACCTGTTTCTTCCACAGAGCAGCTGGTGGGTGTCAACTGCTGAGTATGAGCCACTGCTCCACCAGAGCTCCTGCAGGGACCATCGGGGGTGTGGACACTGGACAGGAGTGTCCATCCATCAGTGGGTGTGGATGATCCTTGTGAGGGGACTGGACAGGAGTGTCCATCCATCAGTGG